ACGTATCGAGCTCACCTGTATAACGATTAGCGGATTTTCGGTATTCCCTCGACGTTTGGTTACGGGATATATACGTACAATTTGCCAGGAATATCTAATATTGCCGCTCTACGAAGATAGTTCGAAAAGTTCTCGGCTTGACACAGAAATGACGCCATAAATATCAAACTGCTATAATTTTAGACAAGTTTGAATGCACAGAGCTACTGTTAAAATTTCAGACAGATGCTATTAGTGTATGTTTCTGTCGTATAAAACAATTAACTTTTCATTCCATCATGACAATGCACTCGCTCACATTTTTTCAAATTACAGTCGCAAAATTGCAAGAATTGTTCTTCGAATTGGTTTCACACGCACATTCATCAGATTTATGATTTATCCCCCAGTAACTTTTTCTTCTTTCTAAACATAAAGAAATGGCTCATAGGAAAAAAATTTGACTCGAATACTGAAGTAATTGAAACTAACGTTTATCTTAAAGTTTTAGAGAAATCGTATTATACATAAAAAAAATTAGAATATCATTGGAATAAGTATACTTATTCCAATGATATTCTAATTTTTTTTTATGTCGTCTGTATAATATGATTTCTCTAAAACTATAGTTATATGTAGTATATATATAATTAATATATATATTAACAATATATATATTGAGTGTTAAAAAGGGAGATTGAAAAATAAAAAAAAATTTTGCCAAATTAAGTGTTGTCTTTTATCATACCCAGAACTTTCCGAACTACACTCGTATACCAAACAACCTACTCGTAGCAGCAGATAAAAGTTGCAAGAAATTGCAACGAGCGCGAATAGTAGCAATCATAAATTACAGATAAGTTAAAGTGACCGCATAATCTACACATGAAAGGAACGGTTTTGTTGAAATATCTAAACATTTAGCTAGATACAATCTGAAAATAATTTGGTTAGATCATCAAAAATAATGAAAAATTTATGTAGAATACTTGAACAATGCAGCATAAAGTTTTAACATTTTAGAAATTAATTTCAGCGTTCTACATAATTATTTTGATAGTCTAAACAAAATTATTTTCAGATCTGTACTAAGAAAAAAGTTACAGTAATAAAAACATCAAACATAATTTCATTCTATGGAGAATGAGAGATATATGGCGCTATTCTTGTATGTAATTGTTTTATTTCGGTAACACACAAAATTTTCGGTAACAACAGTTTAATCATTAAATCATCAGTTTATTTAGTAAATTCGGCAAATTAATATCGGCGTGGTAAACAATGATTTAATTGGTCACATATCTAAATAGTTTTTGCATCAATATAAACAAAACTTTCATACCAAACATTTCTCTTAGCGTGTACATAGTTATTAAATTTTTAGATACTTCAACAAAATCGTTTTTTTCCATGCAACCCTGTAGGCTGATACATCCGCAGAATTTGTTACACTCGCAGCTTTAACATCGTGCTGCAAAATCCGCTGGAGCGATTCCCAGGGATGATCGGTGCATCCTGCAGAAAGCGAGAGATATTTAACGTGGGCGAAAGATAGGTCAGGCCGTAAAAAGCCGCGATGCGCGCGATTTATGCATGCATGTGGGGACATACATACGCGATTCACAAGGCGAGTCACTCCTCTTTCTCTCTCTTTCTCTCTTCCTCTGACATCGGCTGCTTCAAAAGGAGCAGCCAGGTGAAGTGTATCCCGCGTACTCGGCGCTGCGCGGAGAGGCCACCTTCGTGCACGCACGAGTAGTTCAGGTGGCATCGATGGCGCTCGGCCGCTCGCAAAGCAGTTATTTTTAGTTCAATTTAAACGCTCGAATGGTACCATAAAGCGAGTACGCTACATATACGATATAATATAATATAACTAACGGGCGCGATGGAGAAGGGAGAATGGGGAACAGGGTCTATAGGGAGAGAGAGGTTTTCGCGAGAGCTCGTGGACAAGCGTCGCCGGGATCGTTAAAAGCGTCGTTACCGCGCGGTGGAAACTTTCGCGCCTCGACACAGCGAAAGGATATTTTTCTCAATGCCGCGTGCCCATGGATTACTTTATAATTCCATGAAACGCAAATTCCCCCTCATCATATCGGGCATAAAGGTAGCCGTTTATCGCCCCCGCCCCGCTGCGGTCCTCCTACTTCTATCCTTTCCCTTGAGGACCAAACGTCGCGCAGATTAACTCTTAACTGCTGACGTTGATAAACTCCCTCGGTCGTGTAACGTGTTAAAAGTTGGAAAAGCTGTTTCGTGCAAACGTTCTTTCGAGGAAAGAGAAAAATTCTATCGAAATACTTTACGAAGTTCTATATTCGGCGGGATATCGCCGTTACTGCTTCACGTCGCGTTTATCGGTCGAATCGAGAATATTTCACTAGAATAGTTCTAGCCACATTTCGACATGCGTCCTTGATGATTCGTTTAATAATAAAATTAACAATAATTTTAATAAGAGATAGTTAAATAAATTAATTAAATAAAATAAGTTATTTAATAAAATTAATAATAATTATCGAATTTATTTACTAATATTTAGCGAAGCACAAAATGAGTTTTCCTCAACTGAATCTATAAACCACACATGTGTGCTTATCCCTCTTCTGAGAGTAACAGCTACGTGAAAATAAAGATAACTAGAGTACTTCGGTTATAAGACGAGCATTATACCATGAATCCGTTTAGTACTCTCTAAATTTTTCAGATTGAAATCTCACTCAAAACGAATGGAAATTCTCTCCAATTGAATAGTAAAAAATACTGCTTCGAAATGGAGTGACATTTCACTTTTCATAAGGGTGAATTTACCAATCATGTAAATGTTTCTTTCATTTGGAGTGAAACATCAATCAAGATGACTTGAAAATGAGATCAAAAGTTTTAATACAAAAAAATTCTTTTTAAACTCAATATATATGAATATTTAATTCCAATCATAGTGAATGTTTCATTCGTTTAGAGTCATCAAGATGGCTTCAGTATGAGACTAAATTTTAATCTAAAAAAATATTTAAACTCAGTATATGTAGATTCTTTTATCGACATTTTATTTCTGGAAAAAGTGCTGCTGATATTTATATACGTATAATATCGACTCAACAAAGCGCAATGTCGATACGAGACGATCAGTATCATGATGTAAGAATGCACCAGGTGCATGATAGTGCATCATGACCAGGTGAACCAATTTCAAGGAAGCGCAATCGTTCAAAGTAAATAATGACGACATTTGTGACCAATCAAATTGGCTTCAAATTTTATTAGCCAATATAAAGTCATTAAAAATTTGACACTAATCTGCAGAAACTTGCACCAAATTATATTCAGCTATTATTATGTTATACACCTGAGGTCTGGTTTTTATACCTGCATTAGAACTGCATTTGCTTTCCCGTTTTCGCCAAATACCAAACATACATATATCTATTTCATTTTACGTTCCAAAAATGCAATACGAGCTCAGCTATAAAAAACAGACTCCTTGTGTTTTTATATCATAATATATATGACTCACTTACCAAATTTCTTACGTGGCGCATGCACCGTTTCCAACAGTAGAGATTCATTCTTTAATTACGAATGAAAATATTCATAACACAGAATGGACTCACTCCAAATGAAAAGTCGTTCCAACTACAGCGTAATCACTCCATTTTCAAGTGGAATTGCACTGCAAAAAAATTAGAGAGCAGTGTTGTTAGTATAGTGAAATCATTCTGTAGTAATAATGGTAAATAAAAATATACGCGCTATAATAAAACAAGAGATTAAATCTTCCTAATTATTTCGTAGTTACACTGAAAAAAAATACTAAATTTTAGTAAATATTTGTTCGAATAGTTCTAATAAATACTAAATGTAATATATTTATTTAATACAAAAACCATTAATTGGATTTAACTATCATTTTTTTAGTAACTATTTATTTAATATAAGTAAATGTTTACTTAGTATATTATTCAAAGAAATACGTATTGATATTTAGTAAATTTGTTTCAGTGTAGAAAAATTTCATTTGAGTATTACTTTTTTCTCTATTTATTATTTTTACGCGACGGATTAGATTTTATTGAACTGTAACAATTAGAAAATCCGCGTTATTTCCTCGACGGAAAGACTATTTCTTCGTCAGCGTTTTTAGCACGCGTGGTTCGGTCAGGTGCGGGCCTTTCACGTTACGCGCGGCACAAATCAAAATCAATAAGCCGATTATTGGCCGCGCCGAGCGGAGATTACGCCGCTTTGAATTGACACCTTGACGAGGCGGAGTGGGCCTCGGGTGCCGCGATTCAATCCCGCGGGCTCTGCCGACAGGCGGACATCCGTCCCAGTTCCTTTTTCCACGCGCGGTGAGAAGTCGGCCGCGAACAACGGGGCAAAATGGCGCTCGATGCGAAGCGCCGACACCTCGCTATTCGCGCGTTACAACCGCGCGCGGCTCCTCGTTCTCGCGAACAAACGAGCTCCCGCGACGCGCATTCATCCGGCTGTGAAAGACGCGAACGGCTCGTTTTCCGCGTAATTTCATTCCACGCGGCCGCGACAACGCGGTATTTTCCGTATGCGGAAGAGAATTTATCAATAGCGCCTCGCGAGCGTCGCGGTGCCGCCGCCGCGCGGCGCCATCGTACGAGACGTAGCGACAAAACGAACCGTTGCAATAACGAACCGAGATGATTACTCAATAAAGAAGGAAAAAGAGAAACGCTTGAACTTTATTCGAAACGTAATGCGTTCGAAATGGTAACGACGTGATTCTTGTAAATGTATAATTAAGAAGAAATATAAATTCCCTTATTTCACACATCGTGCTGGATAACATTTGGTAGATATTACCTGTAGAAAATATTAATTGAGAAAAATGTATTTTTTTAATATTTATATTTAAGTAAATATCGCTGTAAATGATGTATTTCAGGTTTGTCGACATTTAAATTTCGCTGTATGTATATACAAAAACACACGACGGACAAAAGAGCACGATATTTGGTGCAGCGGAGCGGGGAAAACGTCAAATAGGTTTTTCTAATCAAATTGCAATCGCTAACATTTCTAGCTGTCAAAATTTTCAGTTAACAGTATAAAGATCCTTGTAAATTCCTCGTCATACGAACCAAATATTATTTCGGTTACGAAAATTCTTCACAGAAAATTTAATAATAAAAATTCATTAAAAGATTTATTTAAAATTTTCGAGCATCAAAAATAAAAGGTAATGTGACGGATATGACAAAAATTCCAGTGCTTAAAACGGAAATGGCTCGATTCTTTTAGAGTTTTTTGTGAAAAATCACGAATTAGATAACGAGATATGGCAATCTAATTTTTGTATATATTATACTTAAAATTTATATTTTGAACTATTTTATTTATATTTTAAATTAAAAATATACTGTCTCATGTTAAAATATGCGAGCATATTTCGCCGTTTCTATTTTCTACTATTAGCTTAACAAAATGGGACAAACTATGGGCAGAATGCCTGAAACGTGGGAAGGTCTCCTGGAAGAGAAAGATCGTGTTTTACATTGGAGTTCCGAAGTGTTGGCGAGAGTGCAAGATAACGTTAGGAACGAAGATACGTTCTTGATGGATTATGATGACGACAAAGTTGACGCCAAGATCGACACGTGGATTAAAACTAATCGGACGCGGGTCGACGAGACATTTAATAAGTTTCCAAACGCGTCAGCTCAGTTAAAAAATGTAGTTAACACTGGAATAGAAAGGGTGATTAATGCATTTTATCTCTTTATAAAACGTATACGTCAATTAGCGTTAAAATCTTTCTCGCAAAGTAAAAGAATTTATTGGGCGTATCGTGAAGTTAAATCGTTTCCCGTGTAATTTTTAGCTTATTGAAGAAATACGAGCGAAAATGAGGAAGGATTATCAGAATGCATACAATGACATTAAGAAGTTCAACAAGAAAGTGGATCAATTGGGTTCAGATGAACGAAAAATTCACGCTGAAATACAAAATCTGGAGGCGGAATGTGCGGGCAACACTCCAAAATTTCGAAAGAAATTTGGACCGTTGCGATTAAATGTTTTTGACAATTTAAGAACCGGCGAGAAAATGATATTCCAAGATAAAAGACTAAAAAGCGATTTTACGAAAAAAGTAAAGTTTCTCTTATACGTTCATAAAACTGCAGCTTATATTCTGACAATTTAATTGCGCTTGCTCAGGTTTACGATATTGATCACAAAAACTCTGCCGAGTGCGTGAAACGGATCGATAAATTGCTTAAAGATTTTGAAAAAAATGCAGCAAAAGAAGGAATATAAATAAAATGGCGTGGATGAAAATATTTGTCAACTTAGTATACATGATCGATAATACGTTTATTAAAAATTTATTTAAAAATATAACAAATTTTCTTTTTGAAATATTGTTTTGATTTGTAACATTCAATTTTACTCGAAACCATTACGTGAGAAAAGGGAAGTATAGTCACGTATTATAACATTAATCAAGTAATAATAAATATAGATAAATGTATTCTTGAATGCTTTTGATTGATTTCCTGTTCTGTATACAACCGGTTGCTCATGTCTCGAATGAGAAAGAGAATAAGGAATTCCTGGATAACTTTCCCATCGTAATTGATAGTGTGAATGATGGAAAAAGAGAAGAAAAGGAAAAACTCGAAAGACCATCTTTGCCTGATGAACGTCTAGAACGAAAGAGAAGAATCTGGATTGTACAGAGTGTTCAGATATTACCGGATGCCTTTTTCACTAAGCTCTAATTAATTTGGAGTCAATTTATTCTCAGCAAAAACGTATAGCCTTCGAATAATTATATATAATATAATTTATAAATAATAATAGTTTTTATTTTATAAATAATAATTCAATTTTTATATTAACAAATAATTATTTAAATAAGGATTTCTAAGCTTTAGATAAATGAGAGTCATAAAATTGAGTCAATAAATTTTATGCGAATTTAATAGAAAATTATTAGGGGGAGCTTAGTTATATAAATATATATTATAATATTAAAAATGATACACTAAATAATAGTCACGATGTATTGAAAAAAAAGTCTAGAAAAATTAACAAGAGCTTCTGGTTTCAAGACACTCTGTATAATCTAAAAATTTCTCTCTGCTTTCCGGGTTGCGTCACAGATTCGAATTCTCTCAGGATACAATCGATGGATTCGGATTCGCCGTCATAGAATGACGCTAGTAACTTTAACGATTCCTTCGGGACTCGCTATATAGATCCTTTGCAATGCGTATCCTTGAGTCTCTCCAATCGCGATTCTAGAATGCCACGCTCCAGATGACGTGCGGCAACGGGAGAGAGAGGTATGAATATAAGAGCCCGGATTCTGTATCGACTTGGTTGGGATAGGCTCTCTTGGAGGCTCCCGTGATCAGGAGAGCATGAGTGAGCAAGTAGTTCGTAGCTCTGTGATGCCATACGATCCAGGAACGTATCACTTCGAGCGATTTTTGTAAGCATCGTGGACACAATTTAATTGTAAGGCTTTATACGTACGATTTCCTCTAAATGTCCATAAATTTGTACAATATTTATATAATATACATTATATTATTTTTTTAAGATAAAAATCTAAGCCAATTGATCAAATTTTGCAATAAAAACAGCCCCAAATAGTTAATTTGACGTTGAATTAATGGACAGTATTCATAATAGTTCTTATTTTAAAACCGTCTTAAGTAATGTCTTAAAATGCTAATACGATCCTGTGATTGATTCGTGACATCTTAAGACTGTACTTAAAATAATTTTAAATATAAGAATCGACTATGAATATCGTACAACAGCAACGTTTTTTAATGATTCAAATCAATTATGTCGGTATTGCAGGAATATCAACTTCTTTATCGACTCAACCAGCTATCAACCATATTGAATCGACATTGAATCAACCTTGAATCAACAATACATTTCTGACTAGGCTGGCTTGACAAAATTAATTAATGCTTTCTGGCGTTGACAAAGTTAATTAATGCCAAAATAGTTGAATCACTTTTGGGTCTGTGGAAAATTATTCCCGTTTAAATCAAAAATAGCACTTAATTAGATATTATCGAAAGATTCAAAATCATATCAATTAACGGAATTTATATCTGATCTAATAAGATTTTCTAAGATTTGATGCTCTTAACACAGCATATTATATTAGAGTAATGAAATTTGTACTATTTGTAGTGCGCTCAAATTATGCGTACAGTCAATGAAATTTTCAGACTTTTAGTCGAATATGGATGAAACCAATTTATTTTAACGAGATTTTCAAAATTTTATACTGTCCATATATATAGCTCGTATTAGAGCAACAGAACTCACGGCGTTCAAATTATATATGCCTTGATGCACTATGCAATTCTGACCCTGTTTGAAAGCTGTAATATAATTTATGTAATATAATTTACACTGATAACTAGATTTGTATATCAAATGCTTTATATATATATATGTATATATAAAATAAAAGTGACAATAATTACAAAATAAAATAGAATAAAAAATCACATTAAATTGAATTTCAATAACAGAGTCCAAATGATCCAATGTTTAGAGAATGAGAAAGAGATATTTTAGCTGTTAGTAGGTTAAAGTTATCTATAATTTAAAAATCACGGAGCTATTATGTTTGCCATGGAACATCAATTACGTAAAAATATGTGTAAAAGATTAGTAAGAGACTCTTCTAAAAATATCAACTATCTAATCAGATCGTTACAAGTCTGAGCGAGATTGGAGTATGTATTTAATATTCATTTAATGACATAAATGTAAAGTTGTATTAATTACAAGTACTCGAGATGAGAATAATTTAAATATTCATGAAAGTGTGTATTCATTATTGTTAGTACTCATATAAAAATTTATGCAATAAAGCATATTTCACTGCACCATCAAATTGAAATGCTAAAAAGTTTTAATTGAAAATTTTTCCGTTTTCTTAACTTGTTTATATTTTTTTTAACACTATGTAACTTTTTTAAGAGTTTAAATTTTTATAATTTTCAACTTACTGTTTGTAAAATATCAACGATTATTAGAAAATTTTTTTTATATCGATAATTACATAATAATGGCAATGATTATCAATACTCAATAAAATTACTAGCAAGTTTACCAATCGTCGATAAATGTTGAAAAAATTATTTTAATAGTAAATTTTTTAAAAAATTGACAAAATATTATAAAAATTGATATTAATTAAAAGTTTAAACGTTATAATTGCAAAAGTTTTTTTAATTTTACAATCATAAATTTTTAATTTACTTTTACATAATTTTGAGAATTCAAATCGCATAAGTTCAAAGTCAAAAACTGATAAAGAATAAAAAAAAGTATGTATCAAAGTTGCAAATTTGTCTACTAATGCAGTTAGATTATAAAATCTAAAATAGTTTGTATCTTTCAAAATCAAGAATGCAGGATTCGCGACAATCTCTTATACGAAAGAGAGAGAAAATGCCAATGTTATTTGAAAAAAAATTTATGGGATGTGAAACAAAATTCTCTCGATAAAATACCAATCGAATCAGTATTCCAGGGATATCGTGATAAAATATCGTGTGATGTCCCATTTCGCTACGTAATTATAATATGCATGGGAAAAGCAGTTACACGAACAATGATTTCCGATAAATTTTCTAATAAAATGTCCAATAGAATTTCAAATAAAATTTCCAATAAATTCCATTACATGTGCGGTTTCAACGATCTGACCTTATTACCTGTGTCACCAGACTATCCGTGAAAGAGGTTAATGTAATTTGTTTTACAATTACGTAAAGCGTATTTGCAAATGTCAAGAGACACAGTAATCGTGACATACTTATATATCTCATACTAAATGGATATATAAGTATGTCACGATTCTTTTAATGTTAAAAACGCAATTCGTTTACACGACCTTCAATAGCCGTGATCGTCTAGTGGTTAGGACCCTACGTTGTGGCCGTAGTAACCCAGGTTCGAATCCTGGTCACGGCAATGCGTGAGAGCATTGTCACGGTGGAGGTTTTTTTTTCTTTATTTTATATTAAATATTAATTAAAAAATAATTTAAAAGCACCGTTATAACGAAAATTTTTTTCTTCACCTTTTTAAATAAATTATTAACTACACAAAATTGTACGAATTTAATATCACTAGTGATTTACTGTCGCTAAAAATTATAATTAATTATGTAAACCTTCTAAGTCCTAATTATCAATTTGCGCAAAAATTCTATGGATTATCGATTGTTTATATATTGTATAGTTATCTATTCCTTGTAATTTACATGAAATATTAAAGTAAAAATAATTTAAAAGCATCGTCACAATAAAATTTTTTCTTTCGTCTTTTTAAATAAATTATTAACTACGTAAAATTGTGTGAAATTGTTTGTGAAAAAATTGCTCTAAAAACATTTTGTAATTATTTATATAAATTTTTCTAAGTAACAGAAAATTCATAATTATTATAATTTGTACAAAATTCTACGAATTGTCTCGTATGCATATTGTATAGTTTTGTTCCACGTAATAAGAATAATATTTATAAAATAACAATGAAAACTTTGACGTGCAGCAAAATTGAATACATTATCGCAATCGTTCTCCGAATACCTTTGCCGAAAATACTAAAAGATTGTGACATTTGATACATTCGCTGGTGTGACGTTATGCAACTGGATAACGATAAATTAAACCCGATAAATTAAAATGCGAAATTGCATTATTAAAGATGTCAGAAAAGCAATTTGAGGAATAATCACCACACACTCGTGAATTGTGCAAACGTAAACTATTATAAATCAAAGTACAATTGCTATTATAGCAGTGTAGTGCGAGATCGCGTACGACTTGCATCCGACTTAGAATTTTTAATTGGACGTTATTCATCGGTCAATATGATCATCCGATTTTTGTTACTTATTCATATTTTATGCTGTGCTGGTTCGTATAAAGGCTTTTTCAATTAATATTATTCAATTACATTTTAATAATAATTAATTTTAACATAGATATACTGATAATTCTTTTGATAATGCAAAAAATTGGTAACGTGAGCAAAACATAGATTGTTTTACATAAAATTAATTATTTAGATAGATAAACGTGAAATTTTATTACTTTATATGCAGTCCAAAGAACTTTTTTATATCAAAGATCTCAGAACGAAAGAAAAAACATATTGTTGGAAGTAATTTCAAATTTGCAGTGTGTAATTTAAATTCTCTAGCTTAATGTTACGTATTCTAATAGATTTGCGGACACATCTGTCGTTATTGATAATTTATGTATCACTAGTAATAATAAACATTCATGATAATCAGAAACGCATGCTTGCAGCAATTCATGGCATTTTATTAAACGCAAACGATGCCGAAACTTGCAATTTTATATGCATAAAATGTAACGCTACCGCAGTATTTGCAAACGGTCACTGTGAATGCAATTTTGTTGACGACAGTAACAAAGGTATTATCATACATTTACAAATTTATCTTCGTATGTAATAATAAATTGTTAAAACAGTCGTCTAAAAAGTAATATCGCATATTTCACATTTTAACTCAACAATGCTGTACAGGAACAGAATGCATACAGCATATACAAAGAGAAATTCAAGCTGTCGAACTGAATATGCTTTCTGATGATCTGACAGAAGAGGAGCGAAAAATACGTTCTATTTTAAAATACAAGCGTCGTCTCAGACCAGGTAAAGTAAAATTATATGTTACACATTATATAAAAAAATTATATAAAACACATTTTAACTTTCTATAAACTTAAATGTTTCAAAAATACCTTCAAATAGACATTCCTTCAAAAAAAGTGCCTCATTTCGTATTTCTCTTCAAAAACTCTATAGTCATGAAACATTCAAAAACTTTTCCTGCAAAAATAGTTTCACACAGTTTAACAGTTAATTATTGGCATAAAGGTAACTTTATTCATAAAGGACTAATTAGCATAAAAAAATCTGAGGATTCTGAAACTCCAAAGGACATTTTTAAAACACCTAAACGCCGTGTGAACTAAGGTATCTTTTAGGCGTCTAATGCCGAGGTACCTAAAATAAAAATTATCGAATTGCCTTGTAGGAGATGCCGAGAAAGTGGCACAGTATTTTATCAATGGAGGACCAGAAGCTGGTCACTCTCATTTTATCAGGGTATACAATGCGACTCGCAATAGCACCGATTCTGCGACAAATTCGTTTTCGGGCGTAGTTGACAAAAGTAACCCCGAAGGCGGATTTCATGGTGTATCATTACCCAGTCCCGTTTCTTGGAATACATACGACTCTCCATTGTATATGGTATCAGAATACGCACCGTACGTGAGTCCGACTATGCAGGGAGATCTTTCGACCATAGGGGCGATGAAACCACCCTTTATCTATCCACCAACCGGAGTGTACGATCCAACAACGGTTCCGTTGAGCACAATTTCTCATCCACATGGATTGCCACACGCTTTATTTAGAGCGGTCACATTTCCCGCACACATTTTGCACCATATGCTGCACCCTCGTCTATACCATCATTATCCTCTGCACCATCGTGGTATCATCAGAAGTACTAATGTAAGTAGCGTTTAATTACATAATTTACAGTATAATGAAAAGCTTCATGATTATGTTTTATTTAATCTGAATAAACGTTTTATATAAACGTCCACATGTCTCACCTTTCAGATAAAGTAGAAGTCTAAAAAATTAATTCGATGCTCTTAATAGATAACATATGATAGCAAAAATTAAAACAAAAAAATATCGATACTACAATTAAATCTTTTTCTATTAGTTCCCACAGGACAAATCAGATACAGATCAGACTGTTGGTCAATGTGAAAATAATGATGGTTCCAATACTTCCAACTTTCTTACTGCCAGAAATAATGCAGTAAGTTTTGTAATAATATGATATTTAATTCGTAAATTTTATTTAATGGCAAATTCTTGCATAAATTTGTAAGTTTTTCTTAGTAAGTAATAAAGTAATGAGAAATTGTGTCGTTAAAATTAAAAAGAAATTGCAATATTCTCTATATTAACAAGAGTTGTGATACAAATTATGACATTCTATGTGATACAGTGATACAAAAATAATAGTTTGATTGCTGAAATCGTTGAATGCAATTATACATAGTTGACTAAGCATTAAACTAACTTTTGTAATAAGAGAAAATTATAAATAAAAAATCTGTTTCTTCCAGGATAAACCAGCTGAACAAAAGGTTCTTGGATCAAATGAGCCATTACAGAACCCAGGAGCATACCCCATAGACCCAGGAGCATTCCCGTATCAATCAATGCAATACCAAAATTACCCATATCTGTACAATTCTTATTATAATCCTTTGCTGAACATATTCCATTCCATACCTAATAGATATCTTCTTCAACCTATGTCGCAATATTCGCAAACTCCATGGACTTCTGCGTCTAATCCACAATCTTTTTGCAAAAATAACGTAAATACTGAACAGAAAAATGAAGTTTTATCTGCTGACAAAACTAAATATTCGGATGGAATAGAAAAATCTGACGATCCAACTAAAAACAACATTCCTAACGAAGAGAAGAAAACCGAGGAAAACACAGAAACGATAAATCATAAATAGGATAAATTAAATGCATTGTATATATCTAATCTATTCAAAATATAAATTTAAATTTCTTATTATTGTCATATTGTATTTATACTACAGCAAACAAATAAATTTTTAACATTAATTTATTCATTAACTTATTTCAATCATTCTATTCTAAACCAACTGTTACCTACATATACCTACATGTAATATGTTGCTCTTATGCTGCTTTGAGTTTCAACTCAAATTTAAAAATCCTAATAGAATTCAGTGAAAGACTAGCCTTATTCAAATTTTGAACTAGAGATATAAAAAATAAAAAGTATTGTAGTAATCTAAACAATAATTAAACATGACATAATTTTAGGTTGATCCTGCAATTCTCATCGTGTATATGTCTGTTAGTTTTAAAAAAGTATAATCAAAAAATTTTTTGGAGATTATGAATAAAGAAGTTTATAATAGAGTTCACGAAGTAATTGTTTGTGGAAACCATTTCGAAAATCCATACTTCGTTTACAGCATTATTTTAATTTTTGTCTTATATATGATGTGATAAAGCATAGAATCTAAAAATGAGCACATATATATAAACGTTTTGTATAATATAAAATATATAAATATAAATAAAAATTCACTCTTAACAGTTCCATCTCCTCTTCTTTATCTCCTTCCTTTGCCTTTCCCTTTCTTTGAAGTCGACGTAGATGGCTGCGATGCTTGCTCGCTAGAACTCTGCTTACCCTGGCGAGTCTTCAGCTTTGAAATTGAGGTACCGACGTACGCCAGCAGAGAATCTCTAGTGGGAAACTCGGATTTTACCGGCGTCCCATCATCGTTTTTCAGCTGCACCCGAATACGACCACGGAATAGAGGTTCCTTACTACGTTCTTTCGGATGTAGCTTATTCTCGACGCCTACATTGAGACCCGCAGCCAACAAGACATCCCGTATTTCCTGATGTGTTGGATTCTCCACACACTTATCCTTGGCTAGCTTTCGTCCATCTGCCAAGCTTCTCTTGTTGTTTAAATATATTGGATAAATGCATACCCATCTGTAAAAAAAACAACTTGTCAAATAATGACGAATTTAAACTTATAATTGTAAAGGCTTAAATAAAATATGTTAAACATTTGCTTTAAAAATAAAGCTTATTTTAAGTATTTTCCAAAATAAAACTTGTAGGTTCTTTGACCTATACGTTTAACTTATAAATTCAATTTTGACATTAGATATCATAGATTTATTCAAATTTGTTTTGAAAAACCAACGAATAAAAGGAACTGAAGTGCTTTTATTAATCTAGACTATGTATTCAATAAACTTTTATAGGTTAGATAACACATAGATCGTAATTGATCGTAATGCATTTTTACGGAGCTAAAGAAACATTATTTTGCTTAATATTTGATAGGAATACATTAATATGAAAGCTATTTCTCTACTATTGTTTCACTGTTATCTTTACCTCTCCCGTTCATTATGTTTCTTCGAAGGATTCCAAACAAGCGACATGTTGTTACTATACGACTTCCCACGACTTCCAGTTGTACCATGTATTGAACGCTCTTTCCAAATTTCCGGATTTGTCTTCACTAAATAAATACGACTTGAAATACAATTTGTAATTTTTCTGTACAGAGTACAGCATCTAGATGATCATCGCTCGATAAAGCAAAACTAAAAGTTCTGAAAAAAAAAAAACCAGGAAATATAAACTACAAGCAATTAACTTACGCACTTAAAGTGCAGCTAAACAAAGGTGAAATATTTTTATTTATACAAGAGTTTTGTATACGTGTATCATCGCAAAAGTATCATCAGTGTTTAAACGAAAAAGTAAGATATATCGTTAACAAAGCAAAAAATATAAATCACGGGCTCGTCCGGGATTTGAACCCGGGACCTCTCGCACCCGAAGCGAGAATCATACCCCTAGACCAACGAGCCATATGAGCGTTGCTTTCACAAAGTGCCCTGAACTGGTTCTATATGTCGATGCAATATGAATAATTTATCGTTCTGTGTACATTGACAGTATTTCATCAAGCTGTAGATAATTAATAATATTTCATCAGTATGTTACATACGAATGTGAAAAAAGTAGGAAATTAAAACACGCTGCTCAAAAAACTTATATTTAATCTAATAAATATTGAAACTTGGCAGAAACAAGATTACAGCCAATATAAATTTAACAAAATATTGGGTTTATGATAGAGACATGTAAAAGTTGATAACAATTTCATTCATACATTTATTAATTGTCGTAAATAAATTAAACACACAAATTACATAAGTACAGTATACCTAATAAACTTTTAAGACAAATCTGAAATGTATATATGTGTGTGTTTGGATCGTATTTATAACATACAGTATATATAACAATAAACAATATATCTTGTCTACAAATTTAACGTATAAAATTTAATATATAAATTACAATTTTCCGATGTCTTGAACTAGATTACAAAATATGAATTAAAATAAGCATATAAATAATTGAAATAATAAACATTATATCTTAATTTACAAACGTATATGTATAAATTATGTGGAAATACTATATGATAATAATCTGGGCAAGATTTTTCTTTTCATTAGCATTTCTTGAAGTATAACTAGAGTGACAATTTAATTTTGTTCTTTCAATCAATGACATGCAAAACTTTTGGGATAAATCTCGAACTGTAATTGTTAAGTATACATCCTCAATTCTTTGAGACGCATAATTTCAAACAACTTCGTTAAACCGTCAAAAAATGCATATGGAGATTTATTTGTTCCTACACATTTTTAATTTACTAAAAGAATTACTAACTACTTATTATATTTAAGCAGTTCTGTTAATTATAAACCTTAATCCTTTCATAATAACCTAGAGCAACATTCTCTTTGGCAATATTCTCTTTTTCAAATATGAATATATTTTATATATATATTTGTATCTCCTCGCTAACTATTTTAGTAATCAAAATACCGATTACAAAAATTGTACCATCATGTAAAGTATTGGTTTATTTTATCCAAATTCGTAATCATGAGGCACATGGTATTTGTCTACTTATTATCTTTAAATAATACTTGATAAATAAAATGGCATTTTCCATAACTATACACACAGTAGTCATCATTAAGTTAGTACGCCTTAATAGCACAAAGATACCAAGTTATTGCATTGACTTTTTTTAAATTTAGATCAAGAAATGATGTAATTGGACAAATATTAGGTTGTCCGGCAAGTTAAAAGTCGTCCTTTTTAAACTTTAAATTTTCATTTTCATTTTAATATTCATGCTCCCGTAATTTATCATACTGGTATTAGTAAATTACTGACATTGACAGAAATTTGATTCAATTGATTTCATCAAATTTGTGAATTAAAACGAATGTAAAACTTGAGTACAAAAAGACGATTATTTTCTAAATAACTCAATAGTTTCATAAAATTAAGTTGACAACTATGCTACATAGTGGTTATGCACAATGTGTAAATATGCACGTAAACATCTATAACAAGGAATATAATGAAGAAAATAAAAAATTAATTAATACAAAAATATGTTCTAATCCAGTAAGGAGAGGATTACAGCGTAAATTTCTAGAATCACAGTAGATGTATTAAATACTTTTCTATCAATTCGTAGGTAAAGTGACAAATTTTAGCTGTCATATGCCAAAGTTAAATTTACACGGTTATGAAAAACAGAAATGGGAAGAACACAGTATATTAACATGGTGGTAGGCACACCAGTAATTGGCAAAATGCTCTTAAAGTCTTCCATTTCTGGCCTAATAATATAGTGATTTGTTATTATCCATCAGTGATTCACATCTCCATGTGAATCTTTGATCGGATATCTTAATAGCTTATAATATATCATACATTACTATACTAGGCGCACACTATAATCACGTTTAAAAACGTTTAGAACAACACTCTAGTGCAATGAGAAATACGATGAAAGGACAACAATTAACATATGTAAAAACAAAGGCCAGAGCAAATGTTACCAGTTGAGGCCAAATCTTTCTCACTTGCATGTATCATCGTACGTTATATTGAATTTTATTCGAAAACGAATCTTGGTGTTAGGTTACCAGCCCATTGCAGAAGGAACACGAGAACCTACTGTAAAATCTTTATATTGAGAAAAGACACATATCTGAAAAAGTTTATCATATTAAAAAGTTTATCATGATAAATTAAAATTTTTTCAATTAAACTATCAGGTGACAAACCTTGTCTTTTAGTCGTTGACAAAGTTGTAGGGCAATAGTAAGCAATACTAGAGCGTCCTTCAGCCATGGTACGCTGCATTCTGCTTGCTGGGTTTCGTACTTAACACTGCCATGAGCATTTTCTAACTGATAAACAGCTAAAACTAGTTTATAGCTTTGAATGTAAAAGCTAATGGCCAAATTTTCTGGAAGGTTTGGATTGAGAGATTTCTATGAACGAAACAAAATTTACAGTGTTACTTGCTATTAAATATAACTAATACATTTATGCTAAACTAAATGTTACATACCATATTCCGACTTTTGATGAGATCATCAATTGTCTTCTTCCTAGGGACGATCAAGCTACTTCTGCTCCTCTGAAGGCAGCCCAAAATATTACCTAGCACATGCATAACTTCATCCGATGTTTTAAAAAGATAATGTCTGTCTACATTGTCTATATGAGCGATGCCTTGTTGTAAATGATTAGCAGCATCTTGAATTTGTTGCAACTTCCATGGATGCTCACTTTGAATACTTGTCCTCATATTGACATTCTGTTGTCGCTGCACCTTAAAATTCACTTCCTACAAGGAAATTTATCTCAATAAGGCAACAAAACTAGAAATTATAATTTTACTAAAACTGTGATTCTAAATACAAACTCGATAGTGCACTAAAGACACTTTACCGCATTTGTAATGCTGTCGCCTGTCAGAACAGCAACACACTTCACTTGATCATGTGGGGCTGCAAAAACAAATCTGTCGGTTTTATTGTGTTGATCATTACCGAAGAGAGCCAGTGGGAAGCGTTGAGCACATTCCTTAAAATAGATATGCAAGGTTAATATGCATGACCTATGTGTCGGCTACTGATATACTAACATATCATTCTGATAAATCAGAATAAATTAAAATAGTGCTAGATATCATATACAGGAATATTTATACATAACTTATCCGATTATCCACGTACCATTAATATATTCCTGAGCTGCGACAATGACGAGTGCACTTCTTCGTGGAGCACCCACTCGAACTCCATTTGCTAGAAGCGAAATTATCAGGATGTTATCGATTCAACCGGGACAGGATGTTCGCGTTATCTATGCGGAGCGTACTATTTCGGGGAAATGTCAAACGTTATAACCTCAAAAACGCTCGCAGCGAGCCGACAAAATGAGTAAGCGTGAAATAATTTAACGCGGCGCACGAATCTCGCTATCTGATGACTAGGGGCTAAATATCTAAGACGATTAGATAAACGCTAAGTAAAGGTAAATAGCTTACGAGATTGTGTGCCTCCTCCTTCTCGCAGTCCGCCATTTTTCAACTGGCGTCTCGCGCGGCTGTGTCTCCACCTGTTTTTTGTTGCATACACCACCTTGAGTACCCAACTTCATGCATATGTGATTAATAGACTTTGTGTATGTATGAACGAAGTATGAGTGCCATATGATGTGTGTATGAATATTTATGTGTATGTGTAAGTGTTATGCGTGTAGATGAGTGTTTATGAGCGTGTGTTACACGTACGCACTGGTATGACTATGTTTGACGTGTATGTGCTGAATGTATATACGATATTTTTGAGTGCTTCCGTATGAAGAACCAGTTCGCAACTGAGCATTCAGTAGCTCTACTCAGTAGCATCAAGTATATCGAGCCTCTTGAAGTATCTATTGCGTAAGTATCGTACGATGTATCGTTAATCCCCTTTCAGGCGCGAAAAAGAACTGATCTAAAGGCCGGAATCCATAGTCCGGTCTTAATCTCAAGCAATGTCTTAAGATGCTAATATGGCTCTGATTGGTTCAAACACTAACTTAAGACCATTTCGAGTCTTGAGCAACGTCTATGCTGTACTTTGCTTCATATATCATTCCCAGTCTGAATTCCTAAGTCTGAATAGAGCGAGTGAGTTTTCTCCTGCGTGAATTAAGCGGCAAGTATAAATCGCGAGCGGTATCAATTACGAGCGATAATCGGCCCACGTACAGCTCATTTCACTCAATTCGCTTGCCTGTGTTGTAATAAATACGACTCGGCATCCTTGGAATGGAATGAAAACTCATTGCTTGCGTGGACTTTATCAATTCGCGTTAGGTATCTTTGATAACTAGAGACGATAATAGATAATGTATTATTGATAATAATAAATTCCGAAACCGATTGGAAGATTTGAATATCGCCATTTTTATGCTCGATTTTTTTCATTGGATCTGTTTTTTTATTGCTGCACTCTGAAACGGTGCAATAAGTTGATGCGAAACAAACGTATATCTGTTTCACTTCTACTTATTGCACTGTATGTATTAGTTCAGAAAGTGCAGCAATAAAAAACAGATCTATTTGTGATTCTCACAATTGTTGACCAATTGTCAAAACCAAAGAATTTTTCCGTTATTTGTTGCAGTATCATCGTCTGCGTCGTGAAATATTCACCTTCGCTGTTGCATCCACATTGATCGTAAGTTATACGTAGTTGCTCAAATAGCTTGAGGCACCGCTTAGAAATTAACTCAAACTTTAATATTTGCTATATGTTAAAGAAAAAAATATTAATTGAATTTGTCGCAAGCATTGAGTGAATCTCGCTGTTGCTTATCAAAGCCGGTAGAAATTAATCTTCTGTTCATTTGATTTTTTCTTTTTATTACCCATACAGCACAGAAAGATTGCAAAATGATTGTAGATATATCTCATTGCAATGTTGTAATATTGCAAATAGATTGCGCAATGTATTTGCAACATTGTTGCGTCATGTCTTAGCACCATAAAAATGTCCGCTTTTAGCAAGATTGCGCTGTAATGTCGTAACAATGTTGCAGCGCAATGTATAACTAAAAATAGTTCTTTTATTGTTACTGAATATAATTTGAAATACAATTTGTGACATAAATAAAAAAAAATACAAAAGAACTAATCGATATATATTTTATATTATATATATAATTTTATATATACACTTTTATACATACTTTTATATTTTATATATAATTTTATATATGATTTTATATATAATTATTATATTTTACACTTTATGCAGACACGCCTATTTTGTACATACTATATTCTTAACTGATGAAATGAAAATAATAAGAAGCTTTACGCATTTTATTTCATTTTTTTTGCAATATTCAAAAAATTCTTTTAATCCAAATATTTCAAAAAATTATGAGAATGATTATAAAGTTTGAAAAATCTTGTCGCGTAGCGGCGACAATAAATATTTCAACGAACACTAGATATAATTCTTAAATTAATGAAAATAATTAACAATCATATTACAAATCATATAACAAATCATGTAATTGACGTACGTTTCCATATGTGCAGTCCATTACTTGAAAGTCAAAATTTTTAATGTCTGTAATAATGCTACAAGATTTGTAAAATCTTGCGTCGTAATATGTAAATATTATATATTACAATTTCTAATACTTACAATGTTGCAGCGATATTACAGCGTAATTTGCAATATTGCAATGTTTCTGCAATGTTACTAGAAGTTTCTGTGCTGTATGGGTAATTTCTTCGATCTTTATATTTAAGGCTTTCTCAAATTTATCTTCAGATGCTCTACGAATTATTTTATTGGCTGCTGAACATCTAAAGATAAATTCAAGGAAGTTTTAAAAATTCTGAAATATAAATACAGACATAAATCCTTAAAATTACAACATCCAATAATTTATAACAATGCAATACTACCATTGCCCTTTATTTAAAAAATAAATTATTTTGGTTATCTCCTACAAATGGCAGTGCCATCTTAAATTCATTTGATAAACAATTATCAGTTTCAAAGCAAATTTGTAATAATGCTGCAACCCTATATATATAGCATATTATGAGGCTAATTTAGAATTTATTCAATACGGATATTCTTAGGTCTGTTCTTTATTTCTGCACTACCTGAACTGGCATACATGGTGCAATAAGTTGAAGTGAAATAAATGTACATTTTATTTCCTCTTATTTCAAAATGATTATGGCAGGAAAGTAATGTAATTCTTAAATTTCATGAATTACGAAGCACAAAAAAATGTGTACATCTTGTATTAATCCCCATGTTCATAGTCATCTTGTACTTAAGGCTTCCTTCAATTTATCTTTAAATGCTCAGTAGCCAATGAAATAATTTGTAGAGCATCTGAAAATAAATTTAAGGAAGCCTTAAATATAAGGCCTATCTCTCTCCATGAATACATAAGACTCCATCTGCTCCATCTGTAATTTTCTGGCGCAAGGAAAATTTTATTCTCAAATTGTTTTCTCATTTTTGGTTAAATTTGAATTTTTATTAAATAAAGATTTTAACATTTAAGCTAAAAACTATTTGGTAATATAATAAAGATGTTGAAAAGTAATCCTGAATTTTTCCATATTTCTTTAAAGTCTAGAACAGTAAAAAAATTTGGATTGGACAAAAAAAACTTAGATTACACATGGAGGATTAAAATGAATGCGAAAGCAATGCTTTAGACATGTTTTATCTAATTGTAAGTTTCCTTTATTTTTTTAAATTTTTATTCTTTAGAATTTTTTCTGAATCATGATTTTGAAGTTCTATTACGATTTACTCTCGCAACCTTCGAGAGCAATATATATACTTCTCAAAACGTGGAACATACCGTTCGAAAAAAAGATTATAAATCTGAAGAATCTCGACCAATATACTCCAGAATTTGAACGAATTAATCCGTATAAGAAAGTCCCTGTTATAGAGCACAATGGTTTCAACCTTGCTGAAAGGTATTATTCTTTCCACAGAATAAATATAGAATTATAAATAGAATATTTTTATTTAATTCTTTTTAACAGCCTTTAATTGTTTTAGTGTAGGGATTACGCGATACATATGCCGAGAATTTAAAGTGGACGATCATTGGTATCCGTCCGATTCGAAAAAACAAGCGAAGGTTGATGAATATCTCGAGTGGCAGCATCTCAACACAAGACTTCATTGTGCAACGTATTTTTTAGTAAAAGTAAATGCCTTCTTTGCCTCAAAAATGTGTTCTTTTATACGCTGAATATTTAAATATATATTTTTTAAATAGTATCTTAATCCGCTAATGCGGGGTAAGCCGCTAAATTCGGAAAAGGTAGCCGAATTAGAAAGTCGTATGAGTAATTGTCTTGACATTATTGAAAATGTATGGCTGAAAGATAAACCGTTTCTGACAGGAAACACGATTAGCGTGGCTGATGTATTCTGTGCTTGTGAATTGGAACAACCGCGTAAGCTACATAATAAATCTTTCGATTTCAAGCAATATGATATTCACCGTGATTAAGATTTGAATAATTAGGAATTTTTTTTTCTTGTAGGAATGGCCGGTTACGATCCGAAAAAAGGGAGACCACGTCTGACTGCCTGGATGGAGAAAGTTGTCACGGAAACAAGTCCTCACTTTCAAGAGGCTCACAAATTCTTAAATCAAATAGCTGCACAACAGCCCCCCCCAAAGCTTTAATTTCAAACTTTAATTATATATAAATATTCTTTTTATAATGTCCATAAATAAGAATATACATATATACGTTATATATCATATATGTGTAATCTATTCTAATCGACAGATAATATTAATATCTAAAAATGGTTGTTGATTTTATTTTGATATCTTTGACGTTTCTTGAATAAATATACTTATATAAGTATTATGAGAGAAAACTAATATTTATGTCATTTGTTTTCCATCAATTTATTTGCCATTTATTCATTTTAATAAAACTGCGGTGCTGCAATTTCTTTACAAATTGTTATAAAAGTATAAAAAAGTTGATTATGATTATATAACAATTAAAAAATATTAGAACAAATATATATATATATATATATAAGCGTTATTTCTTACAGATATGCGACTTTTAAATACATATTCATAAAAATGATAATATATTATCAGCTGTTTTTAGACACATTTTCCATTAATAATTTAAATTATTTTTCAAGTTACTGACTTTGCAGCGAGGCTCCTCGTTGTGATCATGTTGGAGTAAGATATCGATGAGAAATCTTTTCACATTGTAAAAAATTCATATTGAAAGAAAAAATAACAAGACTCAATAAAATGAAATATACAATAAAATCGGCAAATAGGAGTATTACGACGCGATGTTTCGTACGCAAAGTTTTATATATAAAACATCCAATTTTATTTTTTTTTCTTAAATATAAAATATGTATGAAATTTATGTATGAGGTATTACACCGTATTCTTATTTGCTGACTTCATTGTAAATTTTATTTTTAAAATACATATAATTTCTCGTTTCTGATACTATAATCCAATATAATTGCAATGAACCAGGAGTCTTTAATAGAACAAAATTGCAATCGAATGCAATTATTATGACTTATACTGTAACGACTTATGACTGTAAGGTACATGAGAGGTAGCACGTTCGTAACATCCGTTACATTACAACATGTATACAATATATCGATGAGCTTATACTTTCCATATTATAGCTATTGCACAATACATACGCCATTTACCATGTAATAGTAGATAAGATATAATGCGAGGTGCGCAACTCTTTGTATTCCGCAGTTCATAATTTACAAAGCAGAATATTAGACTGTGAACGAAGTACCATAAAATTACAGTAAGCGTTTATCTTACGACCAGGCACACTTTATCACATTCGTGTAAATCCGATGCGATTGTAAGACAGAACTCGCATTCGTTATAATTTATAATACATTGACTAGAGATACATAAATTATCGGGGTGAAAATATATGAATATCAAAACAATAACACATTTTGTATGTCATTCATTTTTTTTTGATTACTGTTTTAGTTATTGAACAAGCTCATTGATATTTTACAGACATTAATTTGTTTATCGATTGCCTTGTAGTTTCTACGATAATTTTCAAAGAAGTTTTTTTAACTTAGGCATCCTCTTGGGACATTTCTCTACATGGATACTCCAGTGACGAGTTTGGCATCTTTCGTCGCAGTAGAAGGCTGTTTCGCAGCCTAGGCACTTGAACATGGATCCGGTGAGGCCACAATTAGAACACTCTAGATTACTCGTAGTTTCCAGAGTACGATTCACCTTACCCAGATGCGGCGTTTCGCAATTACGATTCTCTTTCCGCACGGGTTTCTTGTTGGCCAACGCGTTATTGGACGTGTTATTGGACGCTAATATCGTAGCGGATTTGTACGTCGATGTGGGCACTGAGGATGCTACCGTCGACTCCTGTGCGTTGTCATCATACATCGTTGTAGACGATTGAGAATAAGTATCATCTGTTTTCACGTAAGGTAATCTGTCCAGTATTAAATTTTGCAATTGACGGTAACCACCATTATTCAATCGCGAATCTACATTTACGCCACCGACTGATTGCACCTGTTCTTGTGGTAAACGTTCACGATTTGTCACTCTATTCGCCATCAGCTGTGAAGATTCGTTATCCATGACGCCCATTCCTCCAGATACCATTTCTGTGTCAGTTCTTCCATAAGATGGTAGCGTACCACGCTGTCGGCCGAAGGAAGCTGCCGCAACCACCGCAGCAGCTGCCGCTGCAGCAACAACATCCGGGATCATTCTATTCCTGCCGCATTGGCCATTGCTCGCGGGGCCATAGCTAGCCAAGGAAGTGCGTGCCAAAGATTGCTGCGCGGAGGCTAACGGTGGAGGTGGCGGCAACAGCAGGGATGGCAAACAAGTCGATGTGGTACCGTTTTGCGTAGCAGCCGTCGCCGTCCTCAGACGATCGTAGTCCAAGCCGGCAGCTGCCGGCTGATAGCCGCCCGCGGATAAAGTACCGGAATATTTAAGGAGATCCGCGGTAAAGTGACGAGACGCCGTATCCTGCAGATGAGTAGGATAACGCTTGTCGAGATGCTGCATCTGACGGAGTGAAGCTGCGTGCGAATCTTGCAAAGGACCTAACTGGTAGCCGCTTATCGGTGGTGCGGTAGCGTGCAGGCGTGAATGATAGGGATAATCGCCGTAAGGACATACCGCCGAGTGGTAGCCAAAAGCCGCACCGTAAGGATCGATCTGCAACGGTAAACTAGCTAAATAATTGAATGACGAGGTAACTACATATATTGTGAATTAGTTCTCTAAGCGATTGTGAAATAAAATCGATATATAGTAGATTTCGTTTATACATTGATTAATCCATTGATCTTGTTTCTCTTACCGCATAATTTGATGGGTAGAACTGGGTAACTGAGATAGGTGGACAGATGCCCGGTCTCACTGGAGGTATGACCGATGATGCGTACAATTGTTGCTGACGTTGCTGATGCTGTTGACGCTGCCACCTTTCCGTATTCCATTGCGGTGCTACGTTGACTATATTGTTTCGAGTCGCATTATTTGGTGCATTTGAGCGGATCTTTTGTGCCTCCAGTCCGGGAACCTGTTTTTGCGAAGGAACAGTAGAAAATTCGTTAATAGAAAATGATTCATCGAATGAACAATTGTTGGAGTGAAAATATAACTTACACGAGCGACCTCCGCCGTTGATGCGGTTGGTAAACTTATTCCAGATTGTAGTTTAGATTTCGATTTAGTAGCTTGTTTCTTCGACATTCGCGCTACCCAATTGCCTAGCGTAGGAAATTGCTCCGTCATGATACGCTTTCCGTCATTTCGCTGATTGGTATTCTCCTGAGTGGCTCTGTTGCAACTATTAGGCAAACTAATACATCGATTGCGTGAAAAAACACATGTTAAACATATATAAATCAAACTTAGAATTATATAACACATATATCATACTTACACGATACATTGTTGATTTGAGCTGCTAACAGTAGATCTAGATTGAGCAAAATTCAAGGGTATTGCTGGATTCAAAGCAGCAGATTGATTCATGCTTGATGTTACCTAAAATTACGCAAAATTACATTTTAACTATTAAAACTCGGATCAAAATTATTTTTTGTCTTTCACCAATAAAAAGAAATAAAATTAATACAAAATTGTTAATAATTAATAACAGCATGGCATAATACAGGCACAATTAAATTATTACGTATAATAATTTTTAGATTTAACAAGAAAAAATATAAAGTACGATGGCAATAAAGAAAATTAACTGGTAATAAATTAATATAGATCTTATAAATTTTGTATATTAATTGTATATTAATTGTTGTTTCACACAATTATATTTTCCATAGACATGTAGATAGTACATGCAATTTTATGGATTTCAATATTTTACGGCAATTTAATTGTGCGTTGTTACCATTATTAATCTATAATTTTTTATAGATTACCTTCTGCACGTCCCTTGAATTTTGGATGACGTCTGTAAAGACGACGTTCTCACGCGCGACGGACGAGCCGTAATAATTCGACTGTAATTGCAAGATGTTAGTCACATTGGCGGTAGGCACTTGTCTGACCATCTCTTTCTGTGCAGCTGTAACTGTACTCGAGACTACTTTATTCTTAACATTAATCCTTTCTTCTGAGTAAGTTCCATATTCCATCGTTTTCTTAGTATCCTCTACGATCGATGGACTAGACGATAAAGCTTCGTTCGATTTCTGTTTCAGCTCCTGTTTTTCGCAGGCGATTTGCTTGTTTTCGACGGTTTCCGAAACTTGTGTTACTTCGTCGAGATGTCCCTGAGCGACAGGTCTTTCTTTCGTGTCTCTCATTTCACTTTCATCTATTTCGAGGTCCATTGTTGGACTCAGCAAGCTGTCCGAAGGTATCATCGGTATCGTATGTCGATGTTCCTCAATGTCGCTAAACGATTTAGTGTCCTCCAGAATTTTCTCCTCGATTTCCGAATTCTTCATTTTCGACAAAGTTTCTTCTTCGTTCCACTCCGCCGTACTGTTTCTCGGATCTTCAAACTCGGACGATGAAACTGGAGATATAACTGGCGTTATGTCGTCGTATATTATCGTTTGATCCGTATCGTTCGCTTTGACTTCTTTCTCGATTGGCGAGCTCGGCGAGCTGTCGCCTTTATGCCAACTTTTGGTGACGACTAGATTTTGCTTCAGACATTCGAGAGCAGTTGGTTGGATTGCTATATAAACTCTGGGTAGTACCGGTGGACTATCCCTCACCGCATCGGGCGATTTAACTTTCTCGTAGTCGATAGGAGAACGCGGCGACAATTTCGGTGGTTCTGGTGAAGGAGACGGAGAAACGTTGCTTCTGGATATTCCATTCATCTTTTCAACATAAATATATTTATTATTTATGATATCATATGAAACAATCAACGAAATCGATTTTTTTATAACATGCATTTTCACCTATCGAATTACAATCCGAGGAAAGATCTTTTCAGCAAGAATATAAAGGAGGATGTTAAAAAGGGACCGATTTCTGTCTAAAAAGTGTAACTAAAAGGAATATTGTTTTTTAGATTTTGACCTCCTGTAATGTATGTGTGTGGATGCGACAAAATTATTAAAAAGTTTGTAATGTTTAAAGAATATCTCGACAATTGAGCACAAACATGGTATACCTATTTATCCAAATTT